TTTATATATTTAAAGCGAGTTTTTTGGGCAGTGTAGAGTAGTGCTTGTTGTTTGCGCTGTGGATCACCAGATCGGTTTTCACATGTGGTTGCAGCAAGCCTGCCAGCCGCTCCTTCATCGAATCCTCCGGCCGCGCCGTTCTCAAGCCCGCCTGCCTCCGCTCACTCTAGGCCGCCGTGTGTTTCGTTGTGAAAGTGAAACTACTTTGTTTTCGAGTCCGGTCTCGAGACATTTTTCTATCGTCTCGGACTTGTCTCGGACTCGTTGGTGTTTGCACTCGGACTTGTCTCGGACTTGGTCATTGGACTCGCCAAATGTTCTCGTTGGTCTCGACCGAGTCCAGCAATATGCTTTTTTTCTCCTTCAAAACAAAACCATATTTGCATGTCGCGCCTGAAAACGCGTGGAAAACGCTAGGCGCGCCGCTTTCTCCTTCTTTCCAAAGCACTCTGTAGCCTGCGCTCTATGCTTGCGCTCCCGTGGCGTCTGCCGTTGCTAAGCAATCATGACCTGCGCTCGAATACGCGGAAGTTTCAGCAAAGGATAAATGGATTTCCAGCACAAAAAAATCCCTTGCAGTAGCTCTGCTACTAAATTTATTTTAAAAATTGGCTATCCTTGTACAGCTATGATCAGCTGTTTCTCCGTCTTGGCTTAGCTTTCAATTTAGTTACGGAAAGGATGAAGCTGATTGGTTGATTCTTGTCACATGACCCGTGGTGCACTTGTGCGCTGTGAGAAGGCATCAATCATTTAAATTTTTGACCACAGACACGATGTCAGCAAACAGCAGCATTATACAGTATGGTTTTACAAACCACAGAGAATTCTTCGACGGGGCACGGAAGAAGAAACACAAGGCCAACTGCAAATTTTGCAACAAAACTATTGCAGAAACCTGTGGAACAACATCTAATTTCGTAAGGCACCTGCAAAGACACCACAAAGAGAGGTAAGTTGAGCCGGAAGGCATCCTGAACATAAGAATTAGCCTTTGTATTTGACTCGCTATTGGTTGTAATGCTCACCGCTGAAAAAAAAAAAAATTTGTTTTATTTGTTGGCCCTAATATGCACAGTTAATTATTCATTTATTTATCACAAGTAATCATCATTGCAAAAAAAAACAAAAAAAAACTCCACTGTTATCACACATAGCAGAATTTCCTCATATTGTGCAGGACTATTAGAAAGGCAAAATTAATGCAAATCAGTGGATATGTCTGCTATAATGATTTAAAAAGAAAGTTGATTGATCTCCTGTTATTCAATTTCAGCACTAATATCCTCATACTGCATTTCTTCTTTCCAGGCTGCAGCAGTATCGGGCAGGTCAGCGACAGGGGGTAGGGGGGGGCGTCACAGCCGACCATTGATACATTCCAGCGGCAAACATCGCAAGTTCCAGTGTACAGTGCTTCTTCATCGAGGCAACTTGCCATCAACCAAGCCATCATCCATGACCTCATCATTGGCTGCTGCCTGCCCCTATCAATAGTAGAGAATCAACATTTCCGACATTTTCTACACACCATTGCTGAGAGGTACACCCCAATCGCCAGATCAACCATAGCCTTCAAACAGATACCTCAACTAGTGACCAGAGTCAAAGAGTGTATCAAATCCAGTCTGGCAGATCAGAAATTCGTCTCTGTTACGGCTGACATATGGTCAGATCGCACCTTGAGGTCTTACCTAGGAGTAACAGCTCATGTTTGTAACTCCACAGCTAATGAATACACTCTGAAGTCCTTCCTCCTTGACTGCAGAAGATTTAAAGGGCGTCACAGTGCTGACAACATTGTAGCTGCATTCGATGAAATATTGGAAGAATACAATATAAATGATAAGGTAGAATTTATTATCACAGATAACGCATCTAACATGAAAAAAGCTTTTAAATTTGTGATGGCAGAAGACCACTCTGATGATAGTGAGGATGAGGAGGACATGGTTGGTGAACCGTTGGATAGGAACTTTACCCTAGGTTCCCGGCAACGGCTGTCCTGTTTTGCTCACAGTCTTCAGCTAGTAGTGGGCGATGGATTAAAGGAGGTGAAGTGCCTTTCTCAAGCAATGTCCAAAGTGTCAAAGCTTGCAACTCTACTGCATAGCAGCACAATTTTCAAAGACAAGTTTGAGGCAGTCTTTGGCAATGGCAAAAGCATTCCAGTGGCCACTGTAACACGATGGAATTCCACCTTCAAGCAAATAAAGGCCATTACGGAGCTGGATCACACCACCTTGACAGAAATGTGCTCTCCTGACTTTAAGAATGTTGTCATCACAACAAGAGAGTGGGCCCAGTTGAGAGAACTTTGTTTGATTCTTGGACCTTTTGCTGAAGCAACTGAATTAACAGAGGGAGAAAAGATCATCACAATCAGCATGGTTGTTCCAACAGTGCTTGACCTGAACACTCATCTAATTCAGATGGATTCGCCAAAGAGCCTCTGCAGGCCATTGATCAGAGCACTCCGGGAGTCACTCCAGCAAAGGTTCTCAGGCATCTTCATTGCACTTCATATGGCAGAGCCTGAGGACCATAGCTTTGATGCACCATTTAGTCATGAAATCTATGCACAAGCTGCAATGTTGGACCCTCAGTTTGGAATGAGCTGGGTCGACATGGATGTGAGGACCAGTGGCAGCACTGTTGCTATAAAGAGACTAAGGGAGGAGGTGCGGAAGTCGCTGACAGGTTTGTGTGTCCTCCTGTAAGGACTTGTATTTACTACTACTACTATGAATTACTGCTATAATAATATAATACATTTTATTTATATAGCACTTTTCAAAAAGAAGTGCTTCACAGACATAACTTAAATGCAATGTAAGAAAAATGAATAAAAAAAGATAAGACAATACAAATCTAAAAAAAATAATTTATGAATAAAACCATAAAAAACTAATTAAAAGCCAACTTATAAAAATTAGTTTTTAAGTGTTTTATAGTACTACAGCTACTTTAACTGCTACTACTACTACTACTATTAATACTACTTCTGCTGGTACTACTAGTACTGATACTACACATTACATTATATTTTCAAGTTGATTAATAAGGTATGTATTTTTGTTTTATTTCTTCCAGACTGCTTGATAGCTGAAGCAGAAAAGGCTGACCTGGAAAATATCCATGCCAGAGAGGGACCTACAGCAGAACCACCTCATTCTCCACCAAATTCCAAAATTCCACGACTCCTGGCAAAGTATAAAACTCATAAAAAGAAACATAGCACTCCCACTGAGGCAAGCATTGTCACTCAGGTAATGAAATACTTTGAACACATCCAGAGCTCTCCGATAGAGGAGGACCCCCTTATGTTCTGGGCTCACAACAAGGACAAATACCCACATTTGCATGCTCTTGCTCTTAAAGTGCTGTCTGTCCCTGCATCTTCAGCACCAGTTGAAAGAGTTTTTAGTGCTGGATGACTTCTTATGAGGCCCCATCGAGCAAGCCTAGGATCAAAAATGCTCTCATCTCTTATATTTCTCAAGTGCAACAATGGACTTCTGTAAAACAGAAAAGAATACTGAGAATGTACAGTATGAGGATTAGATGCAGAGCCAGTTCAGGTCAGGGTCCTGCTATCCCATACTTGCATCCAATTCTGCACTAAAACTGTGTTGGTAATCCCCTGGGGGATTTTGATTTGACTGGTACTCCTGAATATGTTATATATTATATGGCCTAAGGCAAACACACACACACACACACACACACACACACACACATAGATAGCTGAAGATGTTCATGTTTATTACTTAGTTTTTTTGTTGAAAATGCTCCTTTGGTTTATTACAAGTAATAAGTTCAAGAATGGGAACATTTCATTGCAGTCATTTTGGAGTTCAAATGTTTTGTAAATTTTTTAGTGACACCTGTGTTGCTTGTCATTTGTTACATTTTCCATTGGCAGCCCAGAATGTTATTGTTACACTATAATATTGTTATACACAATTATTATTATAAAGTAGTATAATATATATAATATTGTATAACAATATTTGTATAATATTGTATAAAGACTTAGTACTACAGCTACTTTAACTGCTACTACTACTACTACTATTAATACTACTTCTGCTGGTACTACTAGTACTGATACTACACATTACATTATATTTTCAAGTTGATTAATAAGGTATGTATTTTTGTTTTATTTCTTCCAGACTGCTTGATAGCTGAAGCAGAAAAGGCTGACCTGGAAAATATCCATGCCAGAGAGGGACCTACAGCAGAACCACCTCATTCTCCACCAAATTCCAAAATTCCACGACTCCTGGCAAAGTATAGAACTCATAAAAAGAAACATAGCACTCCCACTGAGGCAAGCATTGTCACTCAGGTAATGAAATACTTTGAACACATCCAGAGCTCTCCGATAGAGGAGGACCCCCTTATGTTCTGGGCTCACAACAAGGACAAATACCCACATTTGCATGCTCTTGCTCTTAAAGTGCTGTCTGTCCCTGCATCTTCAGCACCAGTTGAAAGAGTTTTTAGTGCTGGAGGACTACTTATGAGGCCCCATCGAGCAAGCCTAGGATCAAAAATGCTCTCATCTCTTATATTTCTCAAGTGCAACAATGGACTTCTGTAAAACAGAAAAGAATACTGAGAATGTACAGTATGAGGATTAGATGCAGAGCCAGTTCAGGTCAGGGTCCTGCTATCCCATACTTGCATCCAATTCTGCACTAAAACTGTGTTGGTAATCCCCTGGGGGATTTTGATTTGACTGGTACTCCTGAATATGTTATATATTATATGGCCTAAGGCAAACACACACACACACACACACACACACACACACACATAGATAGCTGAAGATGTTCATGTTTATTACTTAGTTTTTTTGTTGAAAATGCTCCTTTGGTTTATTACAAGTAATAAGTTCAAGAATGGGAACATGTTCATTGCAGTCATTTTGGAGTTAAAATGTTTTGTAAATTTTTTAGTGACACCTGTGTTGCTTGTTATTTGTTACATTTTCCATTGGCAGCCCAGAATGTTATTGTTAGACTATAATATTGTTATACACAATTATTATTATAAAGTAGTATAATATATATAATATATTGTATATAATATTGTATAATATTGTATAACAATATTGTTACACTATAATAAAAAGACTGAAAATGTGAAGTTGCACTTCAGCTTGTGTGAAATTGCTATACCTAAAGTAAATCAAATGTAAATAAAGTAAATAAAAATAATTTGATCCTACAGCTCCAAACTCGGTCCTAGAGGGCCGGTGTCCTGCAGAGTTTAGCTCCAACCCTAATTAAACACACTTGAACCAGCTAATGGCCCTCCAGGATCTAGTTTGGAGACCCCTGTCCTACAGAGTTGTTACTTTGCACATGCTTTTTGATCATTACAAATAATAATGTAAAATGATTTTCTTAGAATAGGAGATATGCTGTCTCTCGCATCACACACATTATCAATAGTTAAGTATGTGGTCTTGAAGAGGAAAAATCATTTTTTTTCTCTCATTTGGACTCGGTCTTGACTTGGACTCGAAACTTTTGGACTTGGACTTGACTTGGACTCGAACCTCTTTGGACTCGGTCTTGACTAGTCCTGGTCTTGGACTCGAAAAAGCTGGACTTGACTACAGCTCTGCGCGATGCAACGCAACGCGTAAAAAGACAGTATAAGTTATTATAATCCATAATTATGTCCCCACTGGATGCAACGAATACCTCGTTTATAATGGGTTTTCATGTTTTTGAATCATTGCTCCGGCCTGACAGGGCATCATCACAATATGGCAAGGGGCGTAACATTTCCGTCACACGCTTGAGGTATTCGGCCAATCACAACGCACTGGATAACTGGCCAATCACAGCACACCTCGCTTTTTCAGACCGATGAGCTTTGTAAAAATCGACGCGTTTCAGAAAGGCGGGGCATAGAGGAGAAACAATAATGTACAGTATGTGGAAAATAATGTGTTTTTTTAACCTTAAACCGCATAAACACATTTCATTACACCAAATACTGTTCTTTTTAGCAGCATCATATGACCCCTTTAACCGGGAGCGACTCAACGCGACACAATCTGTCACAAATCAAAGCAAATCAAAGCACATACCTTTTACATTCAAGACTTTCGTAATGCTTTTTAAGAAGGTCTCCTTATTATAGTATTAACATAAGGGATTTGTCGTATAATATCAATGTTTCTCAACTTTCACTGTTAATCTCCGCGTCCATTTTACTCATTAATATGCATGAGGAGCGGTCCAATTATAATTTAGTAACCTTTCATGGTTGCATGGTTATGGGCATCTACATGATTACTAGATTCTAAATATAGGCTAATCTGTTCGACCTTTAGTTACCGCCTGAATGAAAATCCTGTGTGTCTTCTTAATATATTCAGGTTTCAGAGGTAACATTTTCACCATATTTGAGAGCGGAAAGCACAATTACTAGTCATTTGTTACGAAATATTTAGAAAGATTTTAAATAAATAAATAAACAGTGCATTTCATTTTCTACACGGTTACAGTTATAGATACATAGTTTCCCTATACGTTAAGCTTTTAAATATGTAAATCAAAGTGTAAATGGCGACGCATTGCTTGAAAATGCCTAAACTTTCCACCAGAGGTCTCTGTCGCATTACTTATTTTCTGTGACCTCCTATCTAAACGGTCTCAAACACTTCAGACCTCTTTTGCATTTTGCATTGACGTATTAGTAGGCTCAGGTGGTGTCGCATTTACAACAATGACACAATGACCTTTACTGAAAAGCTTCTGTTAAATGGGGAGTCTGAAATTAAATTAGGGTGAGGGAGGAGAAATGGGGCCATAACCCGTGACTACCTCTTTGAAAGATAATTGTGAAACAGATGTGACTGTTTTATGCCAAGATAAAGATCATAGTGAGATCTGGATCTATTCGCACAACAAAGGCCTGTTTGCGGTCTGCTTTATATGCACTGGCCTCAGGAGATAATGTACAGTGCATCCGGAAAGTATTCACAGCACTTACTTTTTCCACATTTTGTTACGTTACAACCTTATTCCAAAATGGATTAGATTCATTATTTTCCTCAAAATTCTACAAACAATACCCCATAATGACAACGTGAAAGAAGTTTGTTTGAAATCTTCGCAAAAAAAAAAAAAAAAACCCACACAACAACAACAACAACAAAAAAAAAAAGTATGCACAGCCTTTGCTCAATACTTTGTTGAAGCATTGGAACCAATTACAGCCTCAAGCCCGTTCACACCAAGGACGATAACGATAAAGATATAGTTATAAAAATCGTTCTCAATATTAAAGAATAGCAGAGTCCACACCACAACTATAACGATAAAGACAAAGAGAAACGATATCGTTGGAATCACTTTCAAAACGATTTTTCTCCTGCTGATGAACGATAAAAAAAAAAATTTGACAGCCAATCAGATTCCATCCTGCTGTAACGAGCTTGAGAATTTAAAGCGGCAGACGCGCGTGCGCTTAGAATAAACAGACGATATAGTTCGCTGGTGTGGACGCTAATATCGTTATCTTTATAGTTATCGTTCTTGGTGTGAACGGGGCTTTAGAGTATGATGCTACATGCTTGGCACACCTATTTTTGGGCAGTTTCTCACATTCTTCTATGCAGGACCTCTCAAGCTCCATCAGGTTGGATGGGGAGCATCGGTGCACAGCCATTTTCAGATCTCTCCAGAGATGTTCAATCAGATTCAAGTTCTGGCTGGGCCACTCAAGGACATTGACAGTTGTCCCATAGCCACTCCTTTGTTATCTTGGCTGTGTGCTTAGGGTCGTTGTCCTGTTGGAAGGTGAACCTTCTGCCCAGTCTGAGGTTCTGAATGCTCTGGACTGGGTTTTATTGTTTCATCAGACCAGAGAATTTAGTTTCTCATGGTCTGAGAGTTCAGGTGCCTTTTGGCAAACTCCAGGAGGGCCGTCATGTGTCTTTTACTGAGGAGTGGCTTCTGTCTGGCCACTCTACCATACGGGTCTGATTGGTGGAGTGCTGCAGAGATGGTTGTTCTTCTGGAAGGTTCTCCTCTC